TTGGAAAAATTCGATGAGTTATTAGCAGCAGTAATATCTCAACACATCATCATCTCCCATTTGTCTCCTTTCTGCTATATATGGTAAGTAGAATCCCCAAAAAGCAAGTGAAGAGAACTGTTTTTACTGAAAACACCCACACTTGAAAAAGAAATCTTTTGGCGATTAAAGTATCTCAATAGTATTCAGCACTTGGGTTTCACTTGTCAATTAATTCCTGAGAGCCCTGAGGTATTTATAAAGTTACAGTATCTTTGGCATAAAATGACTAATTAAAATCCTGATTTAGAAATTAAGCTATGGTTATTTTCTTCTTTCAAATTATGTACTTATGGCAAATTAGGGAATTATGTTTTATCATAAGTCCTTAGAATAACAACTATATCTGCTTCTGTAAAACCTATGTGTATGTAAATATAACATACAAACTTCTATTTACAAATAACTAGCTTCCAGAATAGTGTCTGACAACTTTTAATGATCATAAATTTCCAGCTCACGTTTTGTAATCGTAATCAATTTATTACTGAAATAATTTTGGAGACGTAAAATTGTCTCATCCTTCAATATTTCATATTCAGCATTTAAGTATTGTCATCCACCTTGGTATTCTCCTTATTGCCAGGAGATGGCGCTGTGGGTTTTAAATCGCCGCGCTAAAATCCCAAAGCCAAACTAAAACCTCTGCGGGTTTCTTAATTGGTGACACAAGGCAAGCCCTAAAATTGTCCATCTTTTTTTGTGCAAACAATTTTTATTTTAAAAATATTTCCCAACGTTCGATGAAGGTATGGTTCCAGGGAGGAAACACGTGTAACACGAATAAGTAAATCAGCCCTTAGGGAATGCAGCTGAATGCAGGAGTGTGCCCCAACTAACCAAGAGGGGAGTGAACTCTGCAGAAACTCTTCACTAGCCTTCCTCTATCTCCTACTGTCTAACCTCTCGTTCTCTGAGGTCTCTGTAGTGACAGGCAAGCGCCAAGCTTTTACGCGTGCCTTCCCGAGCCCCTCCCCTTAAGAGTCCGCACAATCGGAAAGCTCCCGCGGGAGCCAAATGAGCCCTCGGTGGTGGGGGTAGGGAACCTACCTGCGCGCCCCTGTGGGGTGCACAGTCATACTGAAAAAAATTGTTTCTCCGGGCTCTCTGAGGTTCCAACAGCTTGAGGGTCAACCTCTTTTCTTTAAAGTAAAGAAAAAGAAAATCTTCCCGAAAGAACTTAGATCAACAGGTTTCAACTTTTCCACGAAGTCCTTGGAATTGACACGCACTTCGGGACAATTGCAATGCCGGAGCCCTTGGCGCGCTGCCAGGAATGTTCCAGCGCCCATGGTCCCAGCGCCCTCGCTGCCCTCTTCATTAGCCCCGCCAATCCCCAAGACACCGGTGGAACCACAGTGTGGCTCTGCAGGTGAGCTGTGTAGGACCTGGCGAAAAAAAGGAGAAGATACTGATGACAAAACGACGTCGGAAGGCTTGACTGGAGGAGCTTGATGGGCTTGAATCTTTCAGCCGCGGATTGGATCCCGCTTTCCCAAACGCCGCGAGGTGCTGGACGATCAACCTCAGCTGTGCAGGCTTCAAGCTGACCCAGGTGCCATCGGACGGCACTGGGCGGGCGAAGGGCAGGGGTAGGCAAATGAATCTTCAAGGTCAGCGTGCCTCCGATTGGCGCTGGGGGCACGCCCCGCTTCCGCGCGACGGCCACTGTCCCGGAGGGCTCGGAGATAGCACTTCCCCAGCGGCCTCCCTGGAAGGAGCCGCGCTGGGTTCCCTGCGGTTCCCGTCACGTGCGACCTTCCAGGCAGGACTCCGGACCAGCGCAGCCCGGACAGGGTTCCCTTAACTCTCCAGGAAATTTGCTTTTCCAGAGCAGCTCCCAAGCCAAAGTTCATGTCACTCTTGCCAAACTTTGCTTTTACTTCTTAGAATGTACTCTCACACAAATAGGACAATTTTCCCCTTTAGGAAACACACACAGATACCCAAATCCCAGTATTCAAGGGTTCTCCTAACTTTTAAAATCTCGATAAGTAAACTGTTTATTAGGGCTATAGAAATAACAAAAACTGGGTTTGCTCTTTAAAGTAGATTAGATTGTGTTCTGTTCTTTATTTAGGGTCCTATTTCAAATCTCAGGCAAATGCTAATAAAGATGATCACCAAAACTTTTAATTATGACCTAAAAAATTTAGTTTGGTCTGAAGTTCAATGCTCTAAATTTCACTGCGGTGATGGTTGCTGAATATTCTAGAATGCTTTTAAAGCTATAGGTATGTTCCCTCCTGCTGTAACAAAACTGTTTTTTGCACAACATGCTCTAGCGTTTGGAAATTTTGTATCCAACACTCTGCAGAGAATGTTCCCTGTCAGGATGTGTTGTGGACAATGAGCCTCACAGCGCCAACCTGGGCAGCACAAGGGAGCCCTATTGGGTGTTGGTGATGGATGCCCACCTGCCCTTCCCGCCGGCAGAGTTGCCTGAGCCGCCTCCACTCTGCTGCGAGTGTCCCCTGTCTCCTGTCCCCCAATTGCTTTGGTAATTCACAGTGATCGTCTCTGAAACTGCACAGAGTCCCAGTATTTAGTTTTCAATGCATCATTCTCAAGAGGTCATCTGTGGGTCATGAGTTTTCACAGCCCGCCAATTTCCTACCCTTTCTTTCTGAGCAGCCAGAAGGTGTTTATTTTGGTTTGTTCACTGCTACCTTTCCAAATCGCTAGCTGCTTCCGGAGCTCTTTTCCAGCCTCTTGGCGGAATAAAGTTCAAGCATAGTTAACCAGAGTTCCTCGGGCCAGAGGGCACCAAGTGAGCAGCTGAGGCCAGTCCTTTGCAGGTAGAAGCCAGGCGGCAGGATCCCACTCAAGTGAGGGAAGGGAGCCTAGACGGTGACTTAGGGTGGCCACGATTAAACCAGGTAACGAGACACCAGGCAGATGTGTTTTCATTGCCTTTTAAGATAAATGCAGTGTTAAGTGCCTGACAACTTCCCAGAAGCAATCAGCAAAAGTTTACGAGTGCATAAACCTCAAAGACCATTCCCCAACGGTTGTTACAAGGCCCACATTTAGAGCTTCTATAAATTCTCCAGCAGTTTCCCAAAGCTAAGTTTCCTGTGACTACTAAGCAGCCACCTCCTCCGGGGAGACCGGGGGGGTGGGGGGGGGGGTGGGGTGTCTTCTTGAACTACCAAAGAGAGAGGTTTGGGGCTCCAACCGAGTGAACTATAGTTGCGGAAAAGTTTGTTCTAGAAGTTTGGATGGCCAGGGAGAGCAGGGAGGTGGAAGACAGGAGTGGAGGTGCTCTCCCGCGCTGAGTTATGTGGTAGCGGCGAAGGACCAGGGTCCCGCGAGGGTCCGAGGTCTAGCCAGGGCAGAGCCCCTTCAGTGGGGCTCCAGCTCGGCCATTACAGCCCTGCGAAGCACGGCCCATTTTGGCAGCGGGTAGCTAAGCCCGAGCTCCTACCGGACCCAGGCGTGCTGGATCCTTCGCCCATCTAGTGCCCACTGAGGGGCCATCAGGAATGCTGGCGTCGCACGGAAAAGTCCGGCCCGCTCAGATAGGCAGGGTGGCTGGGAAAACCGCGTGAGACATCTGGGGACCTGTCGCCTGTCAGGCCAGAGCCACGACGGCGCCAGCCTCAGCCCTTCGGGAAGTGACCAGAGGACTTTGGTAAATTACGGTCAAGCACACGGGACTCACCTATGTTTATAGTGAACTTTTGTTTATGATCCCAGTGAAAACAAAGCTGCTAATTGAAAAACAATAACAGGAGCGTGTCTTTAGCTTCCTAAAGGGAGAGGTTAACAGCTGCGGGAGCCAGGGGAGGGAGAGTGGGAGGGAAGTGGCAAGCGAGAGGCCGCCCTACACGTAAACGTGCTTTTAAGTCCCCAGTGAGACACGTGGGCCGGCTCAAGCCTTCCAGAACCACCGGCATGGGTCCTGGGCTGGATAGCTTCCCGCAGCCCGCTAGCTTTTTCTCAATCTTTGGATTCCAGTAAATCTGAAGGCGCGAAAGTAACCCACGACTGCGCAGTATTTCTGTCCCCAGGAGACTGAATCTCAGGCAATTATTCTGGAAAGATACCGCTGGGCCCCTTTTCATTCTTTCCAGGTGAAAATGCAGACGCCCCTGTGTCGTCCTCACCCCTCCTTTATGAAATAAGGCGCCCAACTGTTCTGATATTACCATTCAAAAACAGGTTCTGTGGCGAACCTCATTTGTGAATCTATTACAGAGATTAATAGATTATTTCTCCTTTTTCAACTAATTCTCAGTGGGGAAATTTAACCATATGGTAAGGAGAGAATTAGAATTTCATCACATTAGAGCAAAATGTAATGAAAAGAGTCCAACACCTGGGGCCAACTCTGAAAGCCACAATTAAAAGGTTTTTAATGAAACCAGAGAAACCAAAAATTTCATAGGCTTCAGTAATTCTGCCACATAAGAAAGATTTATTGGAGGTGTTGGGAAATATTGTTTTTACTTATGTCATAAGGATGAAAACCAGCCGCTAAATACCATGTGCTCCCAGATCGAACTCAGGAGCGAGAGGACCGCGTGTACCATTTCTCATCCGGAAAGGAGCACTGGTTTTCACAGCTCTCCCCTTCCTAGCCCTCCAAGAACAACCGAGGCAGATCCAGAGGTCCCTGAATGGCTTCCTAGCTGTCGGTTATGTTTCCGGGTAAATAAATACGCACAAATGCCCCCTTTGGTGTGTGAGAGGGTTTGACTCCTGGTGGAGTTGGCTGTTCTGAAACAACTGGATTTTAATCTTGAGGAAAGTTTGAGAAATCAGTTTCCTCCCGTTTAGGAAATCGTATGCTTCATAATCACCATCACTGTCTCAGTTATTTGGAGACCGCTGCAAGCGCACCCCTTCCTTTTTTTTTTTTTTTTTTATAATGGACTGCATGATCAAGTTGTTCTCCATTTTCCTTTTTTTTTTTTTTTTTCTTCCTCCCCAACCCGGATAGGAAATGGGCAGTGGGCGTGCGGGTGGAAATAAGGCAGTGTGTTCAAGGGGGACGACTGCTTTGCTCTCTTCCTGAGAATCCTGGGTGAATTTGGGGCAAGCCATCGGGACACTACTTCCCCCCGAAACTCCCATCACCAAATCCGGATCAGAGTCATTCTACGAACAGGGGTGGAGTATAATTCTCGCCCGCAAGGGTAATTTAGCACAAGATGAGACAGCAGTGGCGAGGGAAGGGCAGTGGGGGTGGGGTGCGGCGGATGGGGGCGTCTGCTTTCCCCGGGACTCCCAGGCTTTGCCGCCGATCTACAATTTGCTGAAGGAGCAAAGAACATCCTCGGCTCTAAGTAGGGCTTTTAGTGTGCTCATTGATGAGTGAAAGTCGCCACACATGTCAAGCTAAAGGCAGTTGTTGGGTTACTAACAGGACCCAGCGCCTTGCAAACATATGCGCTAAGCTGTGTATACAGATGGCACGCAGAATAATGGAGCCGGCGCCTTTTATAAAGCTCTAGCTGCTGCCTGTCTTCAGACCTGGGAAATGAAACTATTCAGACTCGCGGCCAGATAGCGCCTGCGATTGTTTGTTACCGTTTTAATCCTATTAATTAAAACGTTAACCTGATTGGGTAGAAAGCGCTGTCCCAACAGGCGAGTCTTCTTCATAATAACCTACTCAGAGATAATGATGTAAAAGACTCCCCCGTCTGTGGCGGCGGCTGGTTGATGGGTCCGGAAATCTCTTGAAGGTGAATCCAAGCAAGATAAACGGTGCGGAGAGGCGGCGCGGGGCTGGGCTCAGAGCGGCGGCGGCAGCGGCGGCGGCTCCACTCCCTCCGCGCCCACCCTCCCACCATGCGGGGCCGCGGCCCATGGTGAGCCCCAGCAGCCAGCACCATCGGCTGGAGACGAAGAAGAAGAAGAAGAGGAGGCGGAGAGCGCGGGGGAAGGCGAAAAAGAAAAAGAAGGGGAGAGGGCTGCCAGCAGCACCGGGACCGACGCGCGCACCAGCCCAGGAGCCCGGCTCGGGCGCGTCTGCGGCGCCGCCTGACTCCCCAGCCGAGGCGGCGGCGGCCGGCGCGGCGGGCCGGGGCTGCGCGCCGGCGCCGGACCATGGAGCGCGGGCTGCACCTCGGCGCGGCCGCCGCGGGCGAAGACGACCTCTTTCTGCACAAGAGCCTGAGCGCCTCCACCGCCAAGCGCTTGGAGGCGGCTTTCCGCTCCACGCCCCCGGGCATGGACCTGTCCCTGGCGCCGCCGCCCCGGGAGCGCCCGGCGTCGTCCTCCTCATCGCCCCTGGGCTGCTTCGAGCCGGCTGACCCCGAGGGGGCAGGGCTGCTGCTGCCACCGCCTGGGGGAGGCGGTGGCGGCGCGGGAGGCGGTGGCGGCGGCGGCGGGGTGGGCGTCCCCGGGCTGCTCGTGGGCTCTGCCGGCGTTGGGGGCGACCCTAGCCTGAGCAGTCTGCCGGCTGGGGCCGCCCTGTGCCTCAAATACGGCGAGAGTGCGAGCCGGGGCTCGGTGGCCGAGAGCAGCGGCGGCGAGCAGAGCCCCGACGACGACAGCGACGGCCGCTGCGAGCTGGTGCTGCGGGCCGGAGTCGGCGACCCGCGGGCCTCCCCGGGCGCGGGAGGCGGCGGCGCCAAGGCGGCCGAGGGCTGCTCCAACACCCACCTCCACGGCGGCGCCAGCGCCCCCCCTGGGGGTCCCGGCGGCGGCGGCGGCGGCGGGGGTAGCAGCAGTGGCGGCGGCGGCGGCGGCGGCGGCGGCGGCAGCGGCAGCGGCAGCAGCAGCAGCAAGAAATCCAAAGAGCAGAAGGCGCTGCGGCTCAACATCAACGCCCGGGAGCGCCGGCGGATGCACGACCTGAACGACGCGCTGGACGAGCTGCGCGCGGTCATCCCTTACGCGCACAGCCCCTCGGTGCGGAAGCTCTCCAAGATCGCCACGCTGCTGCTCGCGAAGAACTACATCCTCATGCAGGCGCAGGCCCTGGAGGAGATGCGGCGTCTTGTCGCCTACCTCAACCAGGGCCAGGCCATCTCGGCCGCGTCGCTGCCCAGCTCCGCCGCCGCGGCGGCGGCGGCCGCTGCCCTGCACCCGGCGCTTGGCGCCTATGAGCAGGCTGCCGGCTACCCGTTCAGCGCTGGGCTGCCCCCGGCCGCCTCCTGTCCGGAGAAGTGCGCCCTGTTTAACAGCGTCTCCTCCAGCCTCTGCAAACAGTGCACGGAGAAGCCTTAAACAACCCCCCCCCCCCCCCCGAAAACACAAGACCGACCCAAAAACCAGAGGAAAGTGAAAAGCCTCCCCCCCCCTTCCCTTTTTATTTTGGTCCTCTCATAGTTGTGAAACACTTGCAAACAAAGCAGAGGCGAGAACTGAGGAGAAATATCAGAGACAAACGGGACTTTTAGCCTTGACATCCCCAGAATCTCCGTCTTTGGGGTGGGGAGGGAGGGAGGAGGGAGGTGGAGTTGGGATGAAGTATGGATGTCTTTTTTTTCTCAGAAAAGTGGCAACTTTGGTGGCAGCCTAGACCGCAAGGGAGTTTAAGAAATAAGTTGGGAAGTAGTCGCTTGGTTATTAAGCGTGGAGATTATTTATTCAATGGCAAAATACTAATCCTACTAATAATTGTGAATTTGGCTAGTGCTGAGGGGCAGAGGAGGAGTCCGGGTTGGGTGGCTTGTGGGACGGAATATTCATTCAGACAAATCAGAAAGGGCACTTGAAAATAAATTTTGATTCTGAGCCAGGAGAAAAACTTGAAATGTAGACTTATTTAAGTGGGGGGAAAAAACCAGAAAGAGACACATTGCTATGAAAAGACTTGTATTTTTTATTGTCTCTGAACTTTAATCCTGTGAAAACACTCAAAAGTTTTGGCAAGAGTGATATAAAAAACTGACTGTGGCTGAAAGAATTGCATTTAAAAATATTTATGTGCACCTTGTTACTTTTCACTCTGCAATGATGTATTAACAATTCATGGTATTTATTTGTTATTCTTCAGTGACCCTTCCACATCAACAATATTTATCATGTGTTAAGGTCATGGGTCTTATGTGCAGATTTTTTTTAATGCCTCTAAAATTCTGTTTTATAGATTAACTTATACTGTGTGCCAAGTGTTTAAAAGGTTTATTTGCCAACAAGTATGAAGAGACATATTGATGTATCTGAGCTGCTTAGGTTTATCAAAGGTCACCTGGATATTTTCAGTTGCATCATCCCTGTATTTAAATTGAGCTTTAATAAATTGCTTCAGTCCAAAAATTACAGGAAAGGTGTATTCTTAATTGATGAATGAATTGATCTCTTTTTATGAAAGGGGACTCCTTTGCATTCTAAAAGGGAAAGACATCACAGCAATAGATCCTATAAGTAAGAACATGCTAAGCAAATATTTTTCCAGGCTGTGCTGTGCATTTTTAAAAGGTCTAATTTAATTGCTTTTAATATATATGTACATATATAAGTTATTTTAACTGTGGAGAATTATTTAAGTTAAAAAACTGGTTTGATTTGCCTATGGTGTGAAATCCTTTGTTATTTTTCTAAAAAAAATAAAATTTAAAAAGAAATAAAACTAAGGAAGAGCGAGAAGCTATTTACCCAAAGTGAGCTTTCAGTTTTAGTTTGCATGGCTGTTTGCCTGCCTTTCTGTCCTATGAAAATCAAGAAAACCTTTTTTTAAAAAATGGAGTCCTGCTATTTTCCACTCCTTGCAGATAATACAAATTCAGTTTGTCAGGTTGGATGGCGAGTTGGGAGCTATGATGGATCTACTGGCGGGTTTTGGATGTGTAAAGAATGATATATATCTTAAATAGGTCAATCAGACTATGACAGCTATGTATGACCATTTGTATGTGTATCTATGTCAGAAAGAATCTTTATTAAAATATTTTGATCAAACATTTTATTATTCTGTGCTTTGTGGAAGGAGCAATCACCTCTCTTCTGTGTTACTCTTTGCTTGAAAGGTAACAAAAAAGAAAGGAGTTTCAGAGAAGGTGGAACTAAAGTTTTGGCAGGGATACACAATTAAGAGTAGTTCTAGTTCACTTGTTTACTTGTTAATAGGACGATGGCTGGGCCTGGTCATTGGAAGAGAAATAAATGGGGTCACCGGTGAGACCCAGAGGAGATCCAGAGTTCCCATCTGCTGGCATGAACTTTGAAGGCCATGCTGCCCCTGGGATTCTTTCTCCCACTTGTATGGTATTGTTAACCATGCCAGGGCCTATCAAAGAGCGTAAAGTTTTTTGAAGAGTTTTAATCAAAATTTATATCTCTAACTGCCTGAAAGCCAAGGAAAAGAGATGGATTTGGATTCTCTGAGAATGGTTTTTATTGTGCCTTTCCACTTTTTTGGTAACAGGAGAATCAGGAAGGCTTAATTATAAGTGTAAACAATGCCCATAGAGATTTTCAAAACTTACTAGTGTGGCTTGTTAATGACATTTTCAGGGATTATATGGGGATTGGGTTGAGAATTGATTCTATTAAAGAATGAATAGGCTTGTATTTGGACCTTTATAATGTCTTCAATTTTAAAAGGCTTGATTTTTCCTGTGGTGGAGGTTTTAGAGATGGTGGCGATGGCGATGGTGGTGGAGTGAGAGTGTTTCCTCTGTAGGCAGTCTGCTACATGCATTTTTGTCTGCATAGCCTCAGCTCATAATGATATCCCTAAATGACATCAAACTTAGTGGGGGGTGAGGGAGGATATTTTCTGCTCCACTTGCCATCAAAAAAGATTAATCAGAACCTGTAACTTTTCAGAAAACATAACAGCAAAGGGCCTTGAAGCTGGAGCCCTCCCAGTCAGGGAGTGGAGGCAGAGGGAGGGAACAGACTAGGGCAGCCCCCGGGCAGGAAGAGACCGTCTCTCAGCATTTACCAGACAAAGCCTGGGTGCGTCTAATTATGATTATTAAAACAATTTCCATGACGATGTCTAATATTATGTTAATTTGAAAACAACTGTGTATGAAAACTGTCGACTATAATACCTAAATTCATTTAATGAAACACATCGTTAAGGCAATTAAACCTCCTGGATGTGATTAAGAAACATAATTACGACACTGTTCTGCGCCATAATTGGGTGTCTTTAATCAAGGGGTAAAGTGATCAGCAACACAGCCATTAGTTTGTATTGTTCTGGCCCTGCTGTCCATCATTCTGATTAGGAATTAACCACAGCCACCATCAGTTGAATTTTTTTCTTTTTTGCATATTAGCATTATAGGGGTTACACTTGCTCAAGATTTACTGCTTAATATTTCTCCTTATTAAGAGGACCTCCTTGAAATACTTACTCTGTAACCTCTGTACTGTTCAACTATTATTAGAAATTGTACAAATAACAAAGCTTGGACTTCAGGCGGAAAAGAAATGCTCGTCCTTCCTTCACTCTTTAAAAATTCAATCTCCAGTCTTACTCCTGAAAGAGACTTGGAATGGTTGGGGAAAGGAGAGCATGTTGAGAATGTCAGGTGAATGTGCACAATTATTAAAAATAGCAAGGTTAATAATATTTATTCTCATGTTGGTCATTTAAGACAAATCAATTCTCTTTCCCAATCCAGGAGTGGGCCAGCGTTTGGTTCTAGGAATAAAGATAGGACATCTGAAAGGAACGGGAGGGGTTTCCGCGATTTACTTAGGTGGCCCTCCATAGGGCCTCAAACTTTTCAAAGTTTCTTCAGCAGCAGCTTTTAGAGAAGGAAGCCGATGGTTGGAGAAACAGCTCTTCCCCCACCTGGCGAACCCCCGGCGCCGTCTCCTTTCTGAGATTTGAGTCCTGAATTGCGGCCCACTCTGAAAAATTGGCCCCCACACTTGTGGGTCCCAGATGGACTTCCAGACCCGAGCATGCACGACGGGCCCGAATGGCTGAGCAGCAGGGGCGGACGTGTGGTCTTGCGGAACTGTCCTGTGGCCCGAGCTGACAGGCCGGCGGATAAGCGGGAGGCGTACCAGACCGCCAGAGCACCTTGCCCCGCCTGGGAGCCCGCTCCACACCCACCACACCTCAGGGCGCTTTTCGCGAGCCGTCCCGCCGGGAGGCATCCTGCTATATCCCGCCTGTTAGGGAACAGAAAGTAGGCAAATGAGGCGGAGCAAGGATCCCACTTGGGTCCCACTTGGCCTTCTATTCCACCGGTTTCCTTCTCTAATCTCTCTCTAATTTCAATTGTCTTCTCTAAATTTTAATTCCTACTTAGGTCCCCTCTCCAGTTTGACACTAGGACCAACAGAAGCGTCGGACCTCTTCGTGGACTCCTACAGGACCAGCAGCTGATCATCTCTGAAGATCTTGCTAGTTACCCCCTGTATCTCCTCCCCATCGTGTGTGTGTGTGTGTGTGTGTGTGGGTGTGTGTGTGTGTGAGTGCGCGCGCACTCTGTGGTGCATTCTCCACTCTCCGCAGCTGGGCATCCCCCCAAGATAGTGTGTTGAGCTTAAATTCTTCTCCCTTCTATCCCACTCACCACCCATCCCTACTGCCGACAGCTCACCAGGGAGGGCCCAGGCTCACAGGTTACCCTTCTCCACGCGCTCTTGGTCTTGGACTCTGGAACCGAACCTTTCCACGGGCCCCGGACCCCAAGATTGCTCCAGCATGAGTAGCATCGACTTTTCCAATGTAATGACTTATGAAAGATATAATCATGTGTTAAATTGAATCCTCCGTTTAACTGTTAATGGTGTGCTCTGGGCACATTTACGTATTAGATGCTATGGTAACTAATTACCACTAGGAAAAAGGATAATACACTTCCCAGACTTTGAAAAATAATGATGAGAGTTCACTTGCCGGCTCGCAGCACACTGTGGCGGCTCTGCCAGGTGGAGCGTCAGAGTGAGTGGAGACCCGAAAGTGTGCTCGTAGAAGGCAGGAGGTAATGAATCCTGGTCAGAGGAGTCTCCTTACCAAAGCCTTTAATGAAACTGTGCTTCAGTTGGGGAAGTGGTGGTGGTGGGGTGTGTATTGGGGGGGGGGTACCAACTATACAACAGTGCCTCTAAACAAAATTAAATTGCAAGACATAAACATCGGAAACATAAATAAGTTTTCTTTTAATTAAAATGCAGCCCAGATTAAATTATCCACGTGCCAAGCAACTTTACATCAATTAGCAGTTTTTTGTTGTGTGGGCAAAATAAATGAGCCGGTCTCCTGCGCGCTCTGCGTTGGCACTTATAACTCAGATGCCCCTGGATTTGCCAAGCCAATGAAGTGCAGTTGATTTAAATTTGC